TGGAAATTAAAAAATTATGGAAACCAAAGATATCACCATCATCGCTTTAATAGTCTTAGCAGTTTACTTATATTATCAGTCTAAATATTCTGCTAATGGTAGTAAAATCCAAGCACTAAAAGCCCGAATAAAAGAATATAACATTCACTTCGAGGAGTTAATCAAAAAAGGTGTAGAAAATGATGAAAAAATATTTAATTTAACCAAAGTCAACACCGAAAGCAGGGAATTAAAGAATTTAAAAAAAAAATGTGGTTTTTTAGAAAAGAATTTAGCCGAAATAGTTGAGGTTTACAGATCGTTAATTGAGCAAAATAAAAATCTAAAAAAGACTGTCGAGGAAAGTCAACAAAAACTTAGAAAAAAGGATAAGTTTCTCGAAGAACAGAACAAACTTATTAAAATTTGAGAAGAAAGTTATAATGATTTAAGTGACAAAATGAGAACAATAATGGAAAAATTTATGAAAAAGAAAAATTTAGAAAATGATGATGTAAAAGAAATAATGCGATTACTCAGAATTAAGAAATCAGAAGAAACAAAAGAAAAAAAATAAATTTACGAAAAATTGGAGGAATGAACCTCCTTAAAAAATAAAAAAATAAGTTATAGAAAACAAATGATAAAAAAAGGAGTTGATTATAGCTACCATTCCCTAAAAAAATCAATCAAGGTTAATAGAATTATCATCACCGAAATATATATCGATCCTTATTGGAAGAAACACCAAAGTGAAGGAATTAGCGAAGAACTAATTATCGAGTTAGTTAAATCATTGAATAAAAAAAGGTCGGAATTAGGAAAAAGGTATGATGACTGAGTATATTTTGCCGAAGAACCCTTGTTTTACCAAGATAAAGCCTATTGCCTAGTCTGATGTTTAGAGGACAATAAAAACTATTTAGAAGTAATTGACTGCTATCGCGAAAGTAATTATGAAAAGCCAAAGAGAAAAATTAAATATGAAAATAAGTAAAAAAAAAAGTCCACCCAAGAAAATAGTGGATAGCATTAGAAAGGAATTGACTAATCCTAATTTTCCCTATAAAAACATTGGTTTAAGACCGGATGCTACCCCTTTGGAAAAGAATAAATACGGAATTTGCCAAAAAATACTAGCCTACAAGCAAGATAATGAACTAAATACGGAGGAAATAGCCGAAAATATTCAATTGACTACCCCAGAAACCGAAGATATTTTTTTTGCTCGAATTGATAAGTTTACTTTGGATAGATTAATGGATTATGCTACTAGATTAGGAATTATTTTACAAATAAAGGAGGAAAAACCAACTTCTGCTGATCTAGGGAGAACTTCACGGAATGATATTCATGTCCTTCGTAAATTTAATGGTCGAGTAAGAAAACACCTTTAATCTGCCTTTTTTTTAGTCTTGTATTAGTCAGCCCTCATCTCAGCCCTTGTCTAAGCAACTAGTCCTTTTTTAAGCCCTTTTTCAGCAAAGCCAATTCTTTTTCTAATTGCTCTATTTTATGAAAGGTTTCTTTTTTCTTTTTATAACAAATTAATCAAAACAATAAGAAAATTATTGCTAAGATACCAAAAGAAGGAATTATCCAACTTTCAACCTTAGTCTTAGAAAAAAACAAGAATAAACCAGCACCAGCACAAAATATAAAAGTCATAATTACTGTAATTAATGTATCTTCTAGTTTATCTTTTTCGCGTTTCTTTTCTTTAAGTTCTTCTTCGGCTTTCAGCACCTTTATTTCTAACTCTAAATTAATATTTTTTTTATCTAACATAACAACTAATATGAATAATAAACATTTTAACAATTCTAGCAAAAAAAATGCCGCTAGTCTTAATTTGAAAATAACAAAATAATATGGCAGGATGAAAAAGTAAATTTACGAAAAATTGGAGGAATGAACCTCCTTAAAAATAATTATAAAAAATAATTAAATGGTCAAGAGAACAAGTTTAAACCTAACTCTCCAAAAGATAATTAATGATTGCTATAAAGAAGGCTGTCATCACTTAGGGATAATCAGTTATAAAAAAGCAACCTTTCAAGGATTTTATGATGAAAAGTTGTTTCAAGAAATAATCAATAGCAAAGAAATCAGGAATAATCTCCAAATAACTAACCAAAGGTTTTTTGCTAATTATGTTTATGATTTACCGCAAGAAACGGCTGGAACTACTTGACCATTGGACAAAGAAAGTTGAATTACGCTCAATAGTTCTTATGAGGATATGGATGATTTTCTGGATGCTCTACTTCACGAAACAGCTCATGCGGTCTTTTTTAATGTTGATTTAGAAGAAGGTCATTCCGAACGACATAAGCAACTTACCCATTATCTAATTACTTACTTTCATAAAAAGTATGATTGAAAAGAATTAGAAAAATTATTATAATAAGAATATGCGAACTCAAACTAATATTACTACTTCCAAAAAATTACTTACTTTCTCAGAAATGGGGGAGTTTATTCAATTATATAATCGGCTAGATGAACCACAAAAAAAGAAATTACAAGAATATTGAAGCAAAACCAAACATAAATTACCTATTACTCCCCAAAAAGTAGTTAGTTTAGACAAAAAAGATTATCAGGAAATATTAGGTTATGCCCGTTTATTACTAATTACCTACTGCCGTCTAAGAAAAACAACAAATTAAATGATTAAATCCTTTGGAGATAAACCCACTGAAACATTGTGAAAAAAGAAACTTTCTCTAAAATGAAAGAATATTCAAACGGTTGCCTTACGAAAATTAGACCAGTTAAATAAAACAAAAAATCTATTAGAATTAACTTCTCCTCCTAATAACCGCTTAGAAGCCTTGCGTGGTAAATGAAAAGGTTATTATAGTATTCGGATTAATAAGCAATATCGTCTAGTCTTTATTTGGGAAAAAGGACATGCTTACGAAGTAGAAATAGTAGATTATCACTAAAATTAATTTATTATGACTAGAAAGCCCGTTATTTACCATCCTGGAAAAATACTGAAAGAAGAGTTTTTAATTCCTGCACAACTTAGTTCAGCCCACTTAGCCCGTGATATTAATGTTTCTTCCAAAGTAATTAAGGAAGTAATTGCCGAAGCAAGAGACCTGAATAAAGATATTGCTACTCGACTTGCTTTATATTTCAATACTGCCCCTACTTTCTGAATAAATTTGCAAAGTAATTACGATGAAGAACAAGTCGAAAAGATATTACACAAAAGTTTAAAAAAAGAAATTCAGCCTTTATCTCATTGCTTTAATTAATCTGCCCTTTTTTTAGCCTAAAATCATGGAAGTATCAAAAAATAAAGACCTTAGGAAGAATGTTGCCGCCTTTATTGCTAGTCTTACTTTCTTTCCAGCCTTTATAGTAGTCCAATTATTCACCGAATATAACACTCTCTCTTTTTGAATAATGGCTCTAATTTTTACTGTTATTCTCGGACTTCCCATTTACTTTTTAATACTTTGGCTTTGACCTAAATCCAAAGAACCTGCCAAGAAATAATACAATTTTTACTAAGAACTAAACAAAAAAATAATGACAAAACCCAAAAAATATAACTACAAAGATTACGGTCCAGATGCTTTTGATGTTCCAATTGGGACTGGCACTGGTAACAAAGCAAGATTTAAACTTCCTACTATTGGCGGTCAGCAAATCCTTGGCTGCCTAGAAGAAGGCTTGAAATTAGGTTCTAGCATCCCTCTTATCGGTGGACTGTTTAAAATTGGTTCTCATGCCATTGACCGACTAAAAGATGCTCACATTGATGCTCAATTTAGTGCTATTTCTACCGAATTAGGAGACTTAAGAGATGGTATTGATGGAGTAAACGCTAAAGTCGAAGCCCAAGGCAAAGCCCTCCAAGGAGCCATGGATGGCATGAAAACCGAACTCGAAGGAGCCATGAAGCAACAAGGAAAAAAGTTCGATAAAGACATTCAGAACTTAGATGCCAAAATTGCCGAAGCCCAAGGAGAAACTAAACGAGAATTCGAACAGCAAAGAGCAGCCATGAAAGCTCAAAAACAAGAATTAGAGAGTAAAATTAACGAAGTCACTGAGCAATTAACCCAAGCTCAAGACCAATTACAAAAAGAGCTCACCGACTTCAAAAACGAAGTCAATGAACGTTTCGAAGAGCAAGAAAAGAAAATCCTCGAAAATAAACGCAAAATTGAAGAAGAAAAGAGAGCCCGCGAACAAGAAATTAAAGAAGTTAAGGACAAAATCTCCCAAGCCAACACCAAAATCTCTAATCTCCAAGCCGAAAAGGATGAACTCCAAGAAGACTTCCAAAAGGCTCAGCACCAAACCCAGCGTAAAATGGAAGATCTCCACCAAGACTTTGAGGACTATCAAGCCGAAACTGACTCTAAATTTAAAGTCCAAGAGGCTAAATATCAAACTGACTTAGAAGAAGCCAAAGAGGAATTCGAAGTCAAAGCTCAAAATATAGATGCTCAACTCAAAGATAACCAAGAAATTTTAACCGAACACGAAGAAGACTTAGCCTCGGTCAAATACGAGCAAAAAAAACAAAACATCCTCCACCAAGAATTAGCCGAAGAACTCCAAGAAACTAATGACTTGCTTCATACTCAACAACGTAAATTAAACTTGGTCTCCCAACAAATGGATGACATTCAAGAAGAAGTACATTTACGAATGGATAAACTTTCTAAGGAAGTCAACCAAAAAACCGAACAAACCCTTAACATTGCCAAAGATGCCACCAAAAAAGTTGACCGGTTAACCAAGGAAGTTAGTCAAATGCGGGATGATCTAGAAAACTTTGAAGAACAAGTCCAAAAAAACAAAGAAGAAACCGAAAAAATTAAACAACAAGTCAAACAAACTAATCAGCGACTTGACAATCTCCTTAAAACCCAAGCCCTGTGTGATTTTTCTCAGGAACAGTCTAATTTCGACAAAATTAAAAAGTCCTTAGAGTTAAAAGCCGAAGAAGCCAAATTAATCGCCACCTTAAATCTCTTAAAAGAAACTAAAAACTTAGTCCATTTATCCGCCAATCAGGAATGATTAGTTGGCATTAAACAAGGCACCGAAACCGAAAAAAAAGGTTCTGAGGGTATGTTATTAGACCCGAATTCCTCCTGAGCCAAGCAATACAGTCCGGAACAACTGCAAGAATGAGGCTGAGATACCAGGCTTTTTGGCGAACATGAAAAATCTCAATTATTAAGTGAAGAAGCCGATAAAAAAAATACTCAGCAAGACCAAGTCCAAAGCCAAGAACAAGAAGGGGAAGATATTCCGGTTTCGGAACAAGCCCAGCAAGTTTTAGAAGAAGTTAACCAAGTCCAGTCTCAAGTCTTACAGCAATTACAAGCCATCCAGGAAGAATTAAAAACTAATCTTTCGGAAGTTGAATCAGCCCCACCCCTTTCCACTCCACCTCCTAAACCTTCCACCACTACTGCCATTGAAGTTATTAAGGCTGAAAGTAAAGTCAAAATCAAGAAAAAGGCTCTCGAACGACAAAAAGCCGAAGAACAAAAAGCCAAAAATAAGCAAAAACATGCCGAACATCAAGCCCAAGTAAATCCTGCCCCTTCCAATCAAAAGTCTGCTCAATTAGCCCAAAAACAAGTCGAGGAAGAAAAAAAAGAAACTGAAAAAGCACAAAAGGAACTCACCCACGCCCAAGAAGAATTATCTAGTTTAATGGTCATAACTCTACCGGTTTTAATTCTCCGCAAAAATTATTGAATGACCTGGCTCAAATCAAACAAGTAAA